CTGTGCATGAAGACACATCTAGCTCCGTGAGAGAGCAGAGACCCACTCCGCCTCCAGCCCCGGAGGAGACAGCTGCTGCAGTGGGACGGGTTTTGTGCACGGCTCCTGATGGGCCAGCCAGCAACGTGACAGACCGAAGGTGGGGGCAGGGGGTCGCCTGCTCATTGACATAGGCCTTTGATGGGGGGGTTGCCTCGTGCGTCGGGCCCATTTTGTGTCCATCGCGCTCTGGTTTCTAGCCGTGTCTCTGTTCTTAAAGCTCCGTTTTGTTTTGTGGCCCGCTGACTGCAGCCGCAGGAGGTTTGAAGAGGCAATGGAGGGGGTCTTCTCCCCCCCCCAAGCATTGTCCTTCCCTGCCCTGTAGGGGGTAGGAAACCCCCTGTGATGGGGCCCTTCCAGCAGCACAGGGAAGATAGAATCCAACTTCACAAGTCTCCAGCTGCAGGGACCTCAGGCTTCTGCCCGGCAGTGCCCTGCTGCAGTGGGAGGCACCCAGTGGTGGGTCTGGTCTGGTGTCCCCCCTCCCCCCCCATGCCAGAGCGGTTGGCATGAGAGACCCCGGTCCCGTCCTTCCCCTGCCAGATTGGAGCTAGGAAGCCCCTCGGATGGGGTGCTCCTAGGAGCAAGGAGGCATCAGCTTTCATGGGGAAGGGCTAATTTCACGATCAGTGAGGCATTTTTCACCCGTGCCATTGGTAGGGCCCTACTCACAATCATCGTGCGAGGGGTATTCTTTATGACATAATGTACTATTGAAAGCGAGGCTAGAATAAGCATTAGTCCCCAGGGAAGCCTGAGTCTCCGTGGTGGCCCAGTAAGACCAGAGGGAATTGTCCCTCGTTCCGGGGCAGCCGGCGATGGTAATGTCAGGCTCAGTTGTCCGCCCTGGCCCTAGCCTAGAACAGTCAAGGGCAAATCATCCCAGGCCCCAGCACTACATCCCCCGCGGTAACAAGGAGCGTGGCTGCCGAGGGGGATGCCCTGGCTGTGCATGAAGACACATCTAGCTCCGTGAGAGAGCAGAGACCCACTCCGCCTCCAGCCCCGGAGGAGACAGCTGCTGCAGTGGGACGGGTTTTGTGCACGGCTCCTGATGGGCCAGCCAGCAACGTGACAGACCGAAGGTGGGGGCAGGGGGTCGCCTGCTCATTGACATAGGCCTTTGATGGGGGGGTTGCCTCGTGCGTCGGGCCCATTTTGTGTCCATCGCGCTCTGGTTTCTAGCCGTGTCTCTGTTCTTAAAGCTCTGTTTTGTTTTGGGGGCTGGGCCCGCAGGAGCTGCGCCTTGGCGGGGAGCAATCAGCTGGGATACCCGGCTCTCTCCGGAGCAGAGGCGCTGGGATTTCCACCAGGAGCCAGTGTCAGGGGCTGGGTCGCACAAGGGAGCCAGGCTGCTCCTGCAAGGGACGGGCAGGGCTGGCGGAGCCTAAAGGAGAGCGCTCGAGCGGGACAGGCGGGTGATGGGGAGCGCCCATTCAGCTACCACAGACAAGACGACTCCTCTCTAGAGGCTGGAGCGGGGGGCGCAAAAGGGGGACTCGGTGATGAGGACCCTGAGAACTGTCACACACCCCCCCCCCCCCGAGGCACTGTGGCCTGTGGAAGTGAGATCCATGTGCACCTGGGCACCACGTCCTTGGGTCCTCAGCCGGGGGCTGCGCAAATGGGCATTCCACCGGGGTCATGCGCCTGGACTCGCGCGTTCATCTGGCAGCTGGGGTGGTGCTATGAGCAGCTTCCCCATAGAAAGCCACAGTTTCCTTTGTGTTGAAACTCCTAAAACACATCCAAGTGACTGCGCGGCTGTGTGGGGTGCAGGCACGGGGGTGCGTGCGGGGAGAGCGGGCCATCGGGAGCCCCCAGACCAGCTATGGGAGCGTAGCCGTCCGCAGCGTTGGAGATGCTGAGGCTCCTCTTTCGCACCAAGCTTCGGATCCAGGAGGCAAGTGTCTGCTCTCTTTGCAGTGTCGCGTTCTCTGTGGCCCAGGGCTGAGGCGGAAGTCAGACTTGCAAGGCTCTAGAGGCAACCAGGCTGCTTTTAATGTAGAGTGTTGTCTGTGAAAGGACCTTTCCGATCTCACTGCCCTGAGGAATCTCTTCTCCCTGCCTCCGGAGGCTGGGAGTGGCTTGGAACAGGCGCATGTGCAAAGCAAGCGCGGTGCAACACCATCCCTCTGCTGCTGGCCCTGGCTGCATGGCAGCTGGGTGCACAAAGCATAACCCAAAATAGCAGCATGTTCTTGCTGGCTGTGTCCCACACTCAGACTCCAGCTGCTGCCGAGGTGCTAAAACACCCGTGGGCTTGTGCCACGTCTAACGCTCTCTTTGTAAACCCCACAGGGGTGGCCGAGTTCATCTCTGACTTCCCTGTGGCACCGTGCAGACTGAGACGTGCAGATCTAGGCTCTTGCGCTTTTGTGGACAGAACCCACTTCCTTGGCTGAGCAGAGTGGAGAGGAAAGGGGGGGACCCTCACAAACTCTCCCTTCTTTTTCTGTTATCAATTGGGAGGGTCCCCCCTTTTCTCTCCACTGCTCAGCTGAAGAAGTGGGCTGTGCCCATGAAAGCTCCTGATGCCATGTAGATATTTTTGGTTAGTCTCCAAGGTGCTACAAGATGCCTTTTTATAAAGGGGGGGAGGATCAGGAAAGTGTGTGTCGAATGGTATCGGTAGGAAGAGACAGCAGACAGCAATCTAGATCCGGGTGGCACCAACTGTTCTAGGCTCCACTAAGTCATCTGCTTAGTACAGAACCTGCTGGAAGACGGCGTTGTGCCCGTCCGCACGCACCTCCCTGCGTGTGGCCTGGCTTTACGTGTGGGTCAGTTTGGTGAGTCCTGCCTAGAGCAGGGGGCTGGACTTGATGCCTTCTGAGGTCTCTTCCAGCTCTGTGGTTCTATGATTCTATGTGAGGCCGCGAGGAACAAAACGCTACAGCTGGAAACCAGCGGAATCTGGCAACCCTGCGCGCAGGCAGCGGCAGCAGCGGGTTGCCCACCACCCTCCGGTTTCTGTGCCTCGCAGCGATGGTCATGGGGCCAGGTAGAGGAGAGGTGAAAACACGGCCCCGTGCCCTGTATTCAGCGTCTTCCCAGCTGGAACCGTCTCCTTATTAACATTTGAAGGCTCACGCTTTGGTGAAGCTCCGAGGCGTACAGGCGACCCTGACTTACGACCACCCGACTTATGACCCTTGGAATTTACAACCACCTGGCTTTTACGACTGCCTACTCCAGCCACCACCTCCACCCGGCACAGCCCCCAGCCGGCTCTGGGAGCAGCTCGTGTCCGTGGACTCTGACTCCCAGGAGGCAGAGTGGGCCAAGAACGGAACCCCCATTTTTATCGTTGGGGAAAAAGAGTTCGAGTTGCAACAGCTCAACTTACGACGGTTCTCCAGAAACCAATTAGGTCGTAAGTGCGGGGGGGTCGCCTGCGTTTTCCTCCCTTTGCAGCCTTTCTCTGCTTTCCGAACCCTGTACGTGGGGGCAGGATTGGGGAAGTTTCTCCTTTCTACCTCTATCAGAGGAGATTGAATCTGTAGCACCAAACCACACGTGCCCCCCCACTCCCCTGAGGCGCTACCCGACCGTATCAAGAGGAAGCAGAAGTAGCCCTGTGAGTGTCTCTTTAAAACATTCTCTGGGGCGGTTCCACCCAAGCTGCTGCTTGCAGAGTGAGCCCCACTGAGGGAAACGCGTCAACTCGGGGAAGGGGGGATTTAAACTTCCTGGGAAGCCCCCTGCTGCGACAGGGAATCTCTGTGAACATGAACTGAGCCTTGGGGGTGCACCAGGCTTCGGGATCCAACCTCGAACCTTCCAGAACCGAGGCCCTTCAGATGTGAAAGGAGAAACCTTCCCAACCCCCGTCTCTCTCAGCAGGATTCCTGCCAACAAATCTGAGAGCAGATAGTGGCTGCAAAGGGAGGAAAACAAAGGCTCTCTCGAGTGAGTCTGCCAGGGCTGCCACAGGGCCAGGCCAGAAGGATCCACTCTGGACTCAGGGCCTGGGTAAACCGTCCCAGACAGCGACTTGTCTCTTGGCAGAGAAAGCAGACCTGGTCAGGTGTCGGGATAAAGGCAATCGGACGAGTCCTTCTCCGACCCGCCTGTGAGATGAGATCAGGGTGGCCAGGTGTCTGGTGTGGAACTGGACAGTCCAGTAGTTGAGCTTTGTTTGGGAAATGCATTGAGAACATAGACATGTCGGGTGTCGTCTAACTCCGATGTAATACAGACTGGGGTGTCCTGTCGAGATGTGTTGAAACCATCTGGCAACCCTACATGAGATGAAATAGCTGGGCAGGGCCACGGGAGAGGGGCCGGGCCTCCCCCCTGTGAGCTGGGATGCACGTTGCCTCTATTCCCCGTGACTGGCTTGGGAGCACTCGATTCCCACCCAGACGAGAGCCCGTGGCCCAGTGGGGCAGCGCAGATTCCAGGTTCCTGCGGTTGCAGATTGAAATTCAGGGGAGCTCTGCCAAAGCGGAGAGCTGCCGTGGAGGTCGTGTCTCGTCTCTCTCCTCCCCCCCCCCCCCCCCGGCGCGTCTGAGAACAGGATTTGGCCTTGGCCCAGGGCAGTCGGCCCACGTAAGGGGAAGTGGAACCAGTGCTGCCTGTACCATAATTAGCTGTTCCCCAGCCTAAGGGGGAGCTAATTATGGCCTGGGTGAGGCTGGTCCCATTTTCCTTTTAGGAGGCCAGTTGCCTGGTGAAGACTGCAGAGCTTCACCCCTGTGGCTCTTTGGAGGCGTGCAGGGTTCGCATCTGACCTGTGCGTCCCACTCTCCCGCCTGCAGAGAACTCTTAGCCCCTCCAGAGCCGCCTGGCCTGGCAGAGCCAATCCCGCTCTGAATTGCCTCTTGGGGGCGAGGTTCCCGGGGGCGCCATCGGGGGATTTGTAACCAGCTGGCCTGCTTCCCTTAGGCCCCTGCATTGGAAAATGTCCCCTGAGCATCCCGGCCCCCTTGTGCTGACGCTTGTTCGTTGTTCCACAGGCGAAGTCGGACATCTCTTGGATAGAGACAGACCTGATAGACTCAGACTCGGCCGATAAGGTAAGAGGAGCCTTATCCCTGGAGGGGATTGGTGTCTGTGCAGTCTTGCTTTGTCGGGTGGCGGGATTCTCTGACCGTTTCCTGTGGTAGAGGGTTCGAGTTCACCTGGGCTCTTGCCCACCGCCAGGGCTGGCTTTGCGCACCGCTAACGCCGTCGGACCTGGCCCTGGGAACGTCGGGAACACCCAGCACGCGGGCGGCCGTGAGCGACGTGCGCCAGGACCTCTCGGAAAGGCCTTTCACGGCGCGTGTCTCCTGCACGGCGTCCTCGTGATTGTGTGTTCCCTTTGCTCTCACCTTGAGGCAGCAGGCACCATTGCGTGTGGTTCTGAGGCCCCTCTGTGCCATGGAGGATGGTGCCGTAAGCCACTGCCCTAGGAGGGAAGAGGCGTGTCCGTGCTAGCAGCTCAGCAGCGGCCGCCTGCATTCGGCTCTTGAGCGGAGCCATGGCGACTGCGCCCGCCACAAATAACTGACCCAGCGCGGCCTTTAGGCTGTGTCCACGCTTGCTCGGCAACCTTTTGTGGTTCGCTGGTGCTTAGTCCCCCGCGTCCCTTCCCGTGAAGGACACAGAACGCGGCTTTGTCGCTCTCCGGCCCGCTCGTGGCGGATAGAAGCGTTTTGGCGGGCCAAGTGCCGACAAGCAGGGTTCGCCCACGCCAGCTCGTAGCGCCAGGGCTGGGGCGACGCAGACACACCTGCTACCTAGGAGGCCTCTGAGCGATGGCGTCGGTGTCCGTGCCAACCCTGGTCTCGACTGCATGAGCGGCGGGTGAAAGTATGGCTGGGGGAGGCAAGCTGCTAGCCCCGCCCCCAGTCCCTCCCCTTCTGCCTAGGTCACGCCCCCATCCTGGAGAGGGCAGGTGCTACGGAACAGCAGTGCCTACAGCAGGTGTTCTGGGGGCGTAGTCTGGGCCAGGCTGGCGGTTTGGGAAGCCAGTGCCTCCCCCGCCCTCGCCCACCCTCCAGACACCCCTGCTTGATTGCTGCTCTCTCTGGGGTAAATCAGAATCAGGCAGCTGGACTCTACTCTTCCCAGGGCAGCAGACAGTGTCTGGCTGGTAGCAAGGATTTGCTATGCCCCTTGCTCACAACCTTCTCCACTGAGCCTGCTGTCGTCCCTCCTTCCCCCCCGACTCCTCCCCCCGTTCTGTCTTTGGGAGCCCAGCTTGGTCTGACTCACTCGTACAGCGTGAAGCGCTGGGCGCCCTCATCCCTGGCTGGTGCTAGCACAACAGAAATAACACTCATTTCCTGCTTTCGTTCTCCGTTACCACAGTGGGTGGTGTGGGCGTGGTGCGGAGGAGAAAGGTCAGCAGTAGTCACCGGCCCAGACTAAGATCCCAGCTCCAAACACCCCGCCCCCCCATGCATTGGGGTATTTCCAGAAGCAAATGGAGACAGGCTTGTGTCTCACTGCAAACTAGACTACTCCTAAAGTGGAAAAAAGTTAGCTTGGACCAGAGACCGGTACCTAGCGGGAATCATTCCATGCTCACCTGGAGAGCAAATGACCACTAGGCTGGTGTGTGTTAAATAAGAAAAATCATTCCCATCCTGTAGGCGAATTTGGACAGTGAAGGGACTCGGGGGGGGGTATCTCTGTCCACCAGAGGCCTTTGCTCTGTCCTGCTTGCAGCTCCTTGAGCCGTGGCTCTGCAGAACCGGGGCTAGTTGGTTACCTTCACAGATGCCTTACGAATATCCTGGATAAGATTCCAGGAAGCGAATCGGGAAAGTACCTCCCTTCTGGCAGAAGACACCCTTCTCTTCGCTGCGCAAGAGTCCTACCTGCGCTGACATCAGGACCAAACTAATCCTAGAATCACAGAACTGGAAGGAACCTCAAGAGGCCATCGAGTCCCATTCCCCATGGTCACGGCAGGACCAAGCACCGTCTAGACCATCCCTGCCAGGTGTCAGTCTAACCTGCTCTTGCATATCTCCAGAGATGGCGATTCCACTACCCCCCCGGCAACTCATTCCAGTGATTAACCCCCCTGACAGGCAGGAAGTTTTTCCTAATGTCCAACCTAAACCTCCCTGGCTGCAATCTAAGCCTCTTGCTTCTTGTGCTGTCCTCTGAGGCCAGGGAGAGCCATACCCTCCCCCCCTCCTTCCACTGACTTCGGTGTGGTTATGCAAGGGGAGTAATTCCCAGGGTTGATGTGACCCAAACCCTCTTCTCTTGGCACCGAGGGGAGAAGAGGCACTTGCAGATCTCCTAGGCCCACTGGACAGGCTCTTCTTACCATGGGGCTCTTAGCTCTGGTAAATGACTCCCCAGCATATTCCCCATTCGTGGGAGTTCTCAGTAACACTGCAGGAGGTTAACTTGCCACCCGGACTCCGACCCTGCCGCACTAGCAGAGAGGCAGCCTTCTCGGAGCAGAGAGGAGTCAAATCTGAGCAGGGAGCCGTGAGGTGTGAAAAACAACCACAAGGGTTTGTGCTGGGGCGTGGGAGTGTGAGCCTGCGTAGCTGGGAGTGTGAGAGGCGGCTGCCTTCACTGCGCATCTGCAAGTGGGGCTTTAACCACCTGCAGATCCTCTGTCCCAGGGCTCTACCGTCTGAAGCCTCTCTCCAGCCCTCCATGAAGCAGCGTGTGTTCCAGCGGCCTGCCGCACACCCCGGGCGGCCCTGGTAACGGGGGAGGTGCCATGCTCAACGGGATGGACGATGGACAGGGACCCCAAGCTGCCTCGCATCTGTGCCTTTCTCACACTGTGGCTGCACAGGAAACACCGAGCAAAACCCTGCAACCTGCAGCTGCCTTCCCCTGGCCAGCTCGCCAGCTCGGTTAGTTCTGCAACTCGCTCGCGCCGCTTGTGTCTGTCCCTGCTCGGATCTGCTGGACTGTTGTTGGGTTAACAGTCACTGCAACCTGTAGGTGCAGCCTTTGGGGTCTTCCCTCTTTCCTGCCGGGTAACGTTGGCTTCGTTGCGTCGGGGAAGGAAAGTTCCTTCACGGGTGTAAAGCCGGTTGATGCGACTATCAGCATGGCGGCAATGCATGAATTCTCATTGTTGCTACTCCCATTCTGTGGCTTGTTTGTTGTTCCCATTGCTTGTCTGGTTTGCAGCTGAACAAGTTAATGAAATCTGGTCTAATTCACACACAGTCCTGCTTAGCCTTTCTTGTCACAGTTTTGTAGGTTAATGGACTAAACCAGCGAAGTTAAAAAACACCCTTTCTTACACGGGAGCTGTTAGCTGATGTTTAAAGCTTTAAACTCAAAATGGTACCAGTTCAGATCATCTTGCAAATGGCAGTTTTTTCCCTAGTTGATATATTCGCTGAGCCATGTTAGCTGCCAGGCTTGATAGCCTTGAGAACGCACCTATAGCGGTGAAAACCCTGCTGGAAACTAAACAAATTGGGGCTTATTGTTGGCTCAATATAGTGAAGTTAAAATTGTTCACAAAATTATCCGGTGCCTCCATTCGAAGAACTGCAGCTATCGGGTGTACATGGAACTCTTCCTACCCTAGAGTGTCCCTTGGTCGTCATGGAAAAAATAGAAGCATAAATGCCTGTCCTTAAAGGAAATGTTCCGTTAAAATGGATCTACTAGGCAGACTGTCACTTGATAGTAAACTTAACCTAACCCAATCTCTCAATATTTTTTCTCCTTAGTGTTTTCATGCCCCCCCCTTTCCCCTCCCCCCGTTTTTGTTTCTCTAGTCGGCAGTTGAGCTGAACTTTAGTACTACTGCCTTGGTGTTAGAATGATAGAATCCTAGAACTGGAAGAGACCTCAGAAGGCCATCAAGTCCAGCCCCCTGCTCTAGGCAGGACCAATTCCAACTAAATCAACCCGGCCAGGGCTTTGTCAAGCTGAGACTTAAACACCTCTAGGGATGGAGACTCCACTACTTCCCTAGGGAACCCAGCCCAGCGCTTCACCACCCTCCTAGTGAAATAGTTTTTCTGGGCCATTAAGCTGTCTAGAATTCTGGCCATTTCTTCATTCTTCTGTGTCAGCGGGAACAGTGTCGCCCACCATGACTACGAGCAGCAAATAGCACGGCTGAGGTCCAGAAGAGTGGTGCTGGCCACAGCAGCAGTGCGCTGGAAGGGAGGCTGTCTCCAGCCAGACAAACTAAACTTGTCTGAATAGCGTGTTCAGTCCTAATGCGGAAGCTAGACTGCAGGCTTTCTCCAGGGCCGGTCCTCAACTACCTTGATCCTTTCTCAGAGGGATTAGGCATCACGGCTTTAATAACTGGGAGAGACCTCAGCTCAGTCCAAACTGGGCTGACAGAAATCTGTCCCATGTGGAATAAATTTTGTAATGTGCACTGAGGCACGTGCCCATGTGCATCACCAGTAGCAACAAAACCGAGCTGTGGGCAGCATTGGCATCTTTCCTGAGTGGCTGCATGAGCGCCCAGCTTCCGGGGAGCCCTGCCCAGTGGCGAAGGAGCTGGCGATTCGGCTCCTAGTGGACAGCTGCCGGCAGTGCCCAAAGCACAAGCCCTGGTGACCGTCTTATGGACAGTCTCTGCGTAGAAGCTGGGGCCTGAGTGATGGAGACGAGAGCTTTACTGTCTCAGGGATGGGGCAGGCAGGGGAAAGGGGGGGATCTGGACCAGCTGTGTGGATAAAGGCTTCAGGCTGTGCAGAATTCAGTGTCTGCTCAGTCTGTGAGAAGCTGCCAAACAATATGCAAACAAAGGCACTTCCTGGTCTAGAGCAAACAAAGCTCATCCGCCAGAAGGAAAGGCTGCACTCCTACAGGTAGGTAACCACATCCTCAAGTGTATCTTCTTTTCTGAGGGGGGAGGCCAGCGTGCCAGCAGCCCAGCCCCACCGCAGCTCCATCCTCTCTGGTTATGTTTAAACTTGATTTAAATACTGTTCCCTTTAACAGCGGTGGGGGCCGACCTGCGCGAAGCTGGGGTTTTACAGAGGGTAGAATTGCTGTTTCTAAGCCTGACGTGCTCCATGTCTGGACATCAGTTAAACAGTATTAGGACATCAGGACCATTTTACACCCAGTGTCTCTGACTGCGCGGGAGACTGGGTCTTCAGCGTGTCCCGGACCGTCATTCCCATGCCAGAGAGCTGCACGTTGTGTGTCCAGGTGCTGGCGAATTCCAGGGCAGCTGTGCAGGTTGAAGATTTTCTGGTTCACTGGCAATTTTGAAAAACCCAAAACCAAGTTTTTAAAAATGGGGAGCCAGCGGCCATTTTGAACCAATAATTTTCAAAAATTTATTGGATTTATTTATTTATTTATTTATTTATTTTGGTTTAGACAGTGTCCAATAGGTTTAAAGAACCTGTTTTGGAGGGTTGGCTCTTTAAAGGCTTCTTTGACTTAAACAATCCTGATGAACCAAGACACATGAAATATTTTGGTCTTGCAAATTCTGCCTATTTTTTAACCCCAAAAAGATCTTGCAAATTCTGCCTATTTTTTAACCCAAAAAAAAAAGGTTTGGGTCAGTTTGCCTGAGTCTAGCATTGGGTGCTTCATTTAATTTTTAAAAATGGCGAGTATGAAGTAATTGGACTAAAAGGAAAACTGCTTCCTGTTCCTAGGTAGCCAGTGACTGCCTGCTTTGAAGCATGACCACTCAGTCCCCTCTTGATCTCTGGAGATGTTCTGATTCATAGAAATGTCTAGTGTGTTTGGTTTTTTGTAACGGGGCTAAACTCTTGGCCTCACTGTCTTGTGGCAGGGAGTTCCCCAGGGCATTTTGTTTGCAAGATAGGGAGGGACATGTTAAATGTTACCTTTTCCATGTTTTTTATTGCCCTGTGTTCCAGTCTTCTGAAAAATGTAGCTGGAAGGGGGTGACTCACCTTTCCTCCATCTTTCATTATTCTCCACTCAAGTCTGCTCTTTGGCTCAGTAAAAAAGTGTTTAAAGAAACCATGTGTCACGTTGGCTTCTCTGTCTCCCAGGAGAGCTGAGGCTGTGAAAAAGCCTCCTTATGTGCTGAAGATGCATGAAGACTCCGGTGACAGAGCTACTCAGATTGCTGAGCAGATGGGTTCTGTGTGTCTGACTCGCCAGCCGCGTCCTTGTTGTATGACAACAATGCCGGGTGTTGGTGGGATGGGATTTTTAGTAGTACAAACATTATTGCCACTCACTACTGCTTTCAAAACTCTTGTGACGTGCAGGTCAAAGACACCGAACTCTGTTCTGTGGCCAAAGCAAAGGGGAGGTGTCAGATGGAGGGTGGCACTGAGAAGAGAGGGAAGTGTTTGTAAGGTCCTAGGCTATTTGCTGAAGTCCACCTGGTGATCTGGCCTTGGGGGACATGCTTGTGTTGTAGGAGCGGGTCTGGTTCCCAAGAGCTCGTAGTTGTCCTTAAACAGATGAGGCTTTTCCTCTGCCCTGGTCTTCCTCACGCCTGTGGTTTCTCTTTCAGGGAGAAGGGATTGTGAAGGAATTTAACATCACGCACCATGTGAAGGAGGGCTCCGAGAAAGGTGACCCTTCGCAGTTTGAACTTCTCAAAGTTCTGGGCCAAGGCTCCTTTGGCAAAGTGAGTTGGCTTCTTGCAGCATCTTTTTTACTTGGGGGGCAGGGAGAAAGGTTCCCCCGGGCTTCATGGTGCCCATTCTCCTGGCTGGAATACCAGCTGGACTGGGTTTCTTCCAAGAGAGGGTGCTGCTGCGGGAGCAGTCTGCTCCGTGAGGTCTGTGCTTGCTGTCCTGGTGCCTGCGGGGCGCTGGCAGTGAAGAGGGTGGAAGGAGAGATCTTTGTTTAAACCAGGCCTTCCTCCTGGCACACAGCATCCGGCTGCCCTCCAGTTGGCTCTCACCACGGGGCCAGAGAGGGAGAATTAGGGATTCTCTGTTACTTGCCTCACCCGCCCCTCTGATTACTGTGTCCAGGTACCTGGCAGAGGCCTCCTCTCACTTACATACACGGTCTTTTTTAACCCTTCATGGAGGGGAGGGAAGAAGTGGCACTAAACTCTCTTCTCCTTCAACCCACGAATAACCCCTCGCTAAAGCCCGCCTGCTCCACGCCGCCGTGAGACTGGCCATGCTGCAATGTTCAGTGGCCTGCCCGTCTCCCTGCACCGCCGAGGCTCTGACTAGGATTCTGAGCTCCATTGCTCATGCTGTCGAGACGCGGCCGCTCCCCGGACTGCGGCCCCATTGTCCCGCAGACGTGTCCAGTGGCGAAAGGAGGGGGATGCTCCTGGGTGTCGGTCCACATGTCAGCGGGAAGCCTGCCAGTACCCGGCGGCACTAATGTGCCTGCTTGGATGATACCGTCTGACCCGGCCCTCAGGCGGTGGCCCATCCCTTGGCCTTGTTTCCTTGCTAGATAGCATGCTGACTGCTGCGGGAGGAAAGGGGCGGTGACAGCAGGGGCAGGAGAGTGCGGGTGACAAGCTGGCTTTGGAGACAGGGAGCAGGAAGGGCAAAGGTGTCGGGATACCCTACCCGGGCCCTCTGGAAACCTGCAGCGCTCCAAGTGTTGAACTTGCTGATCTCTCCTCTTGTCGGCAGGGCTTTTTAGTAAGGAAAGTCACCCCCCCCGACAACGGCCACCTCTATGCCATGAAGGTCCTGAAAACAGCAACCTTGAAAGGTGAGTAGGGCTTCCCCTGGGTGGCCACTTCTGCGTCCCCAAAATAGAAAGAGAGGTCATGCTGGGCAGGCACGGTGCTCTCCCCACGGCAAACCTGCGCTGCTCCAAGGACCGTCCCCCCGGAGCTGGGGGTGGGGACGCGTGTAGCTCAGGCACAGTTTGGCGAGAGCGGTGAAGCCATGAGGCCGCTGGCAGAGCCCTGCGGCTGGGATCGGGGGCACGGCGCCGGTCTGAGCTGGGCGTCTCTCCACAGTGCGCGACCGGGTACGGACCAAAATGGAGCGGGACATCTTGGCTGATGTGAACCATCCCTTTGTGGTGAAACTGCACTATGGTGAGTCCCGCGCGCGCCGCGGGCCCAGAAGTGGCAGAGCCCTGGTTCGTTCCTAACTTTGGATGTGGGGAAGACCCGGATGTTCCCAGGGTCCAAAAAAGAGCTGGATCAATTCGGGGAGGTTGGGTCCATCAGTGGCTGTTAGCCAGGCTGGGTAGGGATGGTGCCCATAGCTTCTCTTTGCCAGAAGCCGGGAATGGGCGACGGGGGGGATCACGGGAGGATTCTCTGTTGCGTTCACTCCCTTTGGGGCACCTGGCACTGGCCACTGTGGGCAGACAGGACGCCGGGCTAGATGGGCCTTTGGTCTGCCCCAGCCTGGCCATTCTCATGTAGCATTACCCACTATGCACTACTGCTGGGCAGTGTGTTGCCTGCTCATCAGGGACCGACCTTCCCTAGGGGCCCAGCAAGTGATTTTTGTTGAATGCGTTCACAGCATTTTTCTCACGGTCTGGAAAGGTTATGCCAGTAGCAGAGCGCAATATGGGAGGAGCCTTTATCTGCCAAGCAGCCCCTGTTCCTCTTACTTCCTAGATTACCCTGTGGGCTTTCTAAGCAGTCTTCTTAAAAAAATGAACTTTTCCTCCGATAGGATCTCAGTCCTATGCCCTGCCTGGCTAGCAAACAGGAAAATAAGATAACCCAGGAGAAAAGTAGCTGGGTTAAACCCTTGGGCTGTGTGTTCTGTGCCAGTTCTTCTAAGCACAGAAGAGCAGGGGTAACAGACGTAACTGAGGCTATGTCGACACGGGGAAGGTTTGGTGACCAAACTGCTGTCAACGTGCAAAAATCGGCCAAAGTGAACACCGGTCAAACCAGTTTTTCTGCCTCCCATTGTCAACATTTCATGGCCACATGGCTAGCAACCTGTCGACAGATAGAGCAAAGCATTGTGGGTAAGCATGCCGCAGTGCTGTGGGAAAGCAGAGCTGATCCTTGTGCTACCTGGGATTCCGAGTTCTCTGACCACCTCCTCAGCTGGGAGCAGCATCAAGAGTAGCTCTGGGAGTTCTCCCTGCTGAGGAATGTCCAAGCAGCACAGCCATCTCTCCAGCCCTCCCCCTGCAGCAGCAGCCTGCCACTGTCCAATGATTGCTCTTTGTTCCCCAAAGGAAGCAGCTCACTCAGCTGACAGAGCCAAAGGAAGCAGCTCACTCAGCTGTCAGATATGTCCCGGAACTTTGAAAAGAGCGGGGCGCAGGGCAGCAGAGATCACACAACACTGAACAGAGCCACCAGGGCAGGCATTGTGGGATACTGGCAGAAGCCACTTCTCTTGATAAAACAAACTGCAGTCTGTGCTCCTTGTCGACGATGGGGGTGGGGGAGACAAAAGTCTCTCGCGGAGGTGGAAGTTTTCTGTCATGAAAAGCAGCCGCCTATTGGGACCTTTGTCGCGCTGTAGCGTGGCCACTCAAAGGCTTTTGTCGCTCAAAGGCCGGTTTTCTCGACTGAACATGCCAGTGTAGACAAGGCTGGAATCTGTATTCTTATTTAAAGCTTAGTTGTTCCTTTCCCTGCAGGCCCTTGGGTCTGTCACTGCTCCCTTCTGTTCCCCGCCCTTCCTCCTGAATTCCCCGTGCTAGGGAGCTGAGTGCTGCATTGAGCAGACTCCAGAGGCAGCTGGTGCTGTTCTTCCCACGCAGCAGGGGGGACTTAAGCAGGCAGAATAGCTGCTGGGGCTAGAATGTGTCCCCAGGGGTAACACTCCGAGGAGAGGGATCGTGGGAAATGGATGCACGTCAGTGGTTGGCACCTCTTCTTTTTCTCTGCAAAAACAGCACTTCCAGTTAGTCGCTGCCTCCCCACAGCCTGCCTGGCTTCAGCATCCATCCCTGCAAGGGAGAGAGCCACCTACGCGGTCAGCAATGCCTCCGTGTTCTTGGCGATCTCCCATCCCAGTGCTGTCTGTGCAGGCGATCTCCTTTAGACGCCCAAGCACTGTATTGAGCCGGGTGGGAGGGTGGGGCCTCTGGAGCTCTACGGCCGCTCGGCTTGGGTGGGGTCTGGCTCTGCTGAGCAGTCGGGCTGGGCAAGGGGGCTGAGTCCTGCACTGGCCTGTGTTTCAGCTTTCCAGACAGAGGGCAAGCTCTATCTCATCTTGGATTTCCTGAGAGGGGGAGACCTCTTCACTCGGCTTTCCAAAGAGGTGAGCGTGCCTTGGAGCGTGGCCGGTGCGGTTTCCAGGTCTGGCTGCCCGGGATGGGGCTGGTTCAGCGCTACCCATGGGAGAGGGCGGCTGGCGTTTGGAGCATTGTTCCCCAGCCCCGCGGGGGCGAGCCAGGCTGGGGGGGCAGAGCAGCAGAGAGGGGAACCCGGAGCTCCCTTTTCTGCGCTGTGGCAATGCAGCTTCTTAACCGAACTGAATCGCTTCTCTGGAGGCGGCAGGCTCGGGAGGGGAAGCTGATCTGCAAACTGAAGTGACAGGTAAAGATAATTGGAGAACAATAGCTGATGTAAATGAAGATCCTAAATTAACATCAGCTCACTGCTTAGCAACCTCTAATTGCGCTGCTTAGTCTCCGGGTGCAGGACGGTCTGGTCTGAAGAGGTGAGAGGGAGCAAGTGGCTGGCGACGTTGGAGATGGGGGAGCAACTTCATGGTATGTTCTTGGGGGGCTGATTTCTTCTCACCCAGGTGCCTGTCTCTGTCCCTCAGGTGATGTTCACAGAGGAGGATGTGAAGTTCTATCTGGCGGAGCTGGCTCTGGGGCTTGATCACTTGCACAGCCTGGGAATCATATACCGAGACCTCAAACCAGAGAAGTACGCGCATGCCTCCGGGCTAGCTCTCCTGCCGCTCCCTGTCAAGCCTGGAGTCTGTGTGCCGGTGCCGCATTCTGGGAGCTGGGAAATGCCGTAGGCTGGACCAATGGGTAGCCAGAGCCTGAATCTCATGAGCCAAAAGAGCAGGAGAATCCGGTTCCAGCTTTCTCCTTCATTCTAGGTCATCAGGCTGGGAACTTAGCAGCTCACTTGCCCTCTCCGGGGCAAAGAGAGCACCTCCTGCTGGTCTCCGGTTCCCAGCTGAGTCAGGCCATGGTGGGCTCCGTCGTGAGCAGTGAACCGTGCTTGGGGGGGACAGGGCCTGTGCAGAGGTGCATGTCACTAGTGCAACTGAACAATCCTCGCACAGGAGAGGTCGGGGACCGGATTCACACGGCACCTGGGGCTCGGGCTCAGGAACGTGTACGTCCAGTCGGATGACACAGACCTGGGGAAGGGGGGACCAAGATGGATTCAGGAGAGTAGGGAATGTTAGGGCAGGTATTTACCCATGGACACGGATTCTCTCCTCCAGCTGACTGACATGCTGCTCCGCTTGGCACGTCGAAGGGGCCTCCAAAGAGCCTGGGGAAAGGCTGGGGCACGCACCCTGCTGTAGTTCCATCAAGGGAGAATAGGAGAACTTCAGCTCGCCCGGCCGTGGCGCCTACACAAAGCAGTTGGGCTACAGGGTGTGCGGAGGCAGCTGCCTGTCATGAGGCTGGCACATGGCTTCCTTGTAGTCCTGTCAGTCCATCTCCTGGCTCTTGTCTTCTGCTCACATTGTAACCTTTTTGGGGCAGGGGATGTCTTTGTTCTGTGGCTTCCTGATCTGGGGCTGGGGCTCTAAGGCTAGTGAATGGGCCACATGACCAGTGGTAGGCAACCTGCAGCCGGCACACACCCTGGGACACCAGAGCGCCGCAATTATCTGCTCTTTCCCCTCCCTCCCAGTATGTTCGGAGTGCCACAAATCCACCGATTCGTGCTCCGTCCCCTCTCCTCTCACCTCCCCCTCTCCCAGAGCTCAAACGCTGTGAATCAGCTGTTCGTGGCTGTCCAGGCTCGGGCGGGGGAACAGGGAGGGGCAGGGACGGAGCACAAATCAGCGGCTTCATGTCGCTCCCAGCATGCCAGGGAGGGGAGGAGAAGAAGTAGGAAGCGTGGGGCGCCAGTGCAAGAGGCATGGGGGGACAGACAGGTCCACGGGCCGCAAGTGAAACCCCACAGTGCTAGCTAGGGTCGTGCAAATGACGGAGTCCTTGCCCAAAGCAAGCCTGTCTGTGAACGGCTGGAGGAAGGGGGCCATTCTGTGCGCATCCCACACTGCGAGGAAAGGGCTTAAAACCCGTCTGGCTGAAAGTGGTGGAGTGCAGGGCTGTTTCTGAGGTTCTTAAAGATTTTCACAAGCTTTTGGGGAGCGGAAATAGGTGCTGGTTCACAGGGAGCGGCGTGGTTCACGTCTGGAGCGTGGGTGTTTACCTGCCTTTCTCTCTCCCTGGCACAGCATCCTCTTGGATGAAGAAGGACACATCAAACTCACAGGTAAGGGGATGCCAAAATCTCGCGCTGCCGCAGACGTGTTGCTTGAGAGACTGGCGCGCGTGTAAGATGGCGGGCATACGCTCACGGTTTTTTCTCGTGTGTAGATTTTGGTTTGAGTAAAGAAGCCATTGACCACGAGAAGAAAGCGTATTCCTTCTGCGGGACAGTCGAATACATGGCGCCAGAAGTTGTGAATCGCCAGGGCCACACCCACAGCGCTGACTGGTGGTCGTATGGGGTTTTAATGGTACGCTGTCTAGCTAGCAGGTTTGAAGCCTAATTCTCTGGTGACTCCTTACAGGAGAGATTGTGTGTCGTCTACTGTATCTCTAACACACCTCTCTTGAACTGGGAAAGATCTAATGATCGCACCAAGGCTTTCCAGTTCCCGTGTAAGTTACTCGTACAACCTGCAGCCCAAAGCTGATCAGTGGTGAGGTGCAGTGAATTTCACAGTAGTCAGATGCATTCAGGGCGGTTTCATGTAGAATTTAGACTGTTTCTGACTGCCTCCTAAGACTGTCATGTTTCATCTCATTAAGGCCTTGTCTAGACAACCATGAAGAAGGGATGTAAAAGACAAATAGTTGGCTACCCGATAAGCCTAAGCTTCTCTGGTAGAGGAGTCGGCTCCTCGCATTCACGGCGAGGGACAGGGGAGGCAGAGCCTCAGCGTGGGATCTGTCCAGGTCCCAACTGCTGTAGCTCTGCCTTTTAAGTGTAGTAAGAGTCGGGCACTTCTTCCTACATTTAAAAGGCAGAGGCTTTGACTAATCGAGTAGTCAATGGAAATTCCATCGACTACTCAATTAGCTGATTAATCAAAATTTAACATCTCTACCACTAAGTACGATGCTCCGGAGATCAATCTCCCAGGGTTCAATTTAGCAGGTCTAGTAAGGACCCACTAAATCAACCACTGAGGGTGGTCCTGTCGACTCCAGTACTCCCCGGGATAGTCAGGAGTAAGGAAATTTAACGGGAGCATTTCTCCCATCAACCTTCCACAGAAATTCGATTTAAGGTACGTCGACTCCAGCTACACAATTCTCGTTGCTGGAGTTGTGTATCTTAAACCGGATTTATCCCCCAGTGTAGACTTGGCCTAAGACAGCTGAAGTTTCCTGTTAAGATACTCTCAGATCAGATCAGAAGCATGATAGTTTCCTTGTTTGGATCTAGTGCTGCCCCCTGGTGGTCATTCAATCTACGTCCCTTTCAGCGCTAAGGTTTTCTTCAAAAGACCGTGCAAATGCCCACAAATCATACCGAGGGTCAATAGTACAGGGCTTTCTGCCTAAAGCATATTAGGATCTGCAGCCCCTAGCAACTCTCGCTCATTTACCTCTCTCTTGCTCTTCTCTCCAGTTTGAAATGCTCACTGGATCCCTGCCGTTCCAGGGCAAAGACCGCAAGGAAACGATGACCTTCATTCTCAAGTAAGAGGGGTGATTCTTTCATGGCTCTACAAGAGCAAAACTTGCTCTGCTTCTCGGAGAGGGTGGCCAGATGCTCTGATGGGATAGGGACAGTCCCCACATTGGTGGCTTTGTTGCCTATTACTTCCCACCTCGGCCCTGATCTTATTCATGCTACGGTCACCAAAACTCTGTCAGGAATATTGCGCCCTGGGGGTTATAACAGGCTCTTGGCCTTAATTTGCAAATGTTTCTCTAATCAGACTTGTGGAGGGCACAGTGCGTGTCAGCTTATTGTTGAGCATTTTCTCTCTCCAGCTTCAAGGGATGTTGTGGGGAGCTGCGGTCCATGCCTGCTGGCTTGTTTGAATTACTCCTAGTCGATTGCACCATTTTGTTTCTTTCCAGAGCGAAGCTGGGCATGCCCCAGTTCCTGAGCTCCGAAGCACAGAGTCTCCTGAGATCCCTTTTCAAAAGGAACCCAGCCAACCGGCTAGGTAAGACAGCCGGCATTACATCGAACCGGTGTGCCCTGATACAGCAGCTTGGCTCCCATTGTCCACGTGGGCCAGATGCATTTGGGTTTGTGGGTTCTCCGGCATGTCTTAGCACAGCTAGGGTCTCCGTACTGCCCAGCTCCACGGCCCAGTGGATTATAGCTTTGCCTATTTCGTGAGCAGGCGGATTGGGCGTAGCACTCAATCCAGAGTGGGGTCTGTCTTCCAGGTTCTGGCTCAGATGGGGCAGAAGAGATAAAGCGTCACCCTTTCTACTCAACCATTGACTGGAATGTGAGTATTTAACCTTTCTTTGCTTCGATTTTGGCTTCTGCGTGCTCTCGAACTTGCATGCCAATGCCGGGGAGCTCTGCAATAATACAGATGCTTATAGAGAGGCCTGCATCCAGAGATGCCCTGTGTCTGAGTCCTTCCCCAGGCTTGTGTTCACGCACAAGGAGCGGGAGTTGCGCCTGGACAGCAGACGTGGGAAACTGAACAAACTTGTGTTTGTCACAGCAAATACCCGACAGGCGTGAACCCCGATCGAAACACGCTCGTGGACAGGCTCTTGTAGTGGAAGGGCAGGGAAGCTAAGCTGGGATTTAGCAGGAGAGGGGTGACCGCCGAGCTACTGGGAGCCTTGGGAGAAGACCGGGAGATCGGCACGGGACTTGCAATAGAACAGTAGCTGGCTGCAGCGATTGGGCCAGGCTGGTTTGGTGACTCAGGCTGGTCCTCGGGACAATTTCCACAGGCTTCCTGTGTAACTTTGAGCAAGTCAGGTGATCTCCTGGTGCCCAGTCCCCATCTGCACCCCAGTGCCTTGTAGAGGTTCTGAGGCCTGGTCCGTTGGTGCTTGAGGCATTTGGTTACCATGGTGATGGAGGCTCTGGATGCCCTAGAAAGGGGATCGAAAAGCTCTGGTGGAGGTTTCCTCTCCAGTTGTCTGCGAGGAGCAATTCAGAAAGGCTGTGGGGGGCGGGGATAAAACTCCCTGCCAGGAGTTCCTTTGGCTGTTCCTAGATGTAGCTCTCAGGCCTGGCACCTGGTGCCAGAGTGAGCGGAGAAAGCGCAGCAGACTCGGGTGGCGTCAGCCACTTCATGGATAGCTGGCTTCTTAGCACCCTGGAGGTAAAAGGTTTTTTGGCTCATGAGTAACCGATGCCTGGGGAGGAGAAACACAGCAAGCTCCCGCCACATGACTCAGCAGCTCCGTGGAAGTTCCTTCCATCGAGAGTCTAACTCTGACTGAGCTATGGATCTACCTGAGCTGCCAAGCAGTTTCTGTTTTCTTGTAAAGTTGTCTCCGCCTGCCTCCTGGTAAATCCACCCGTAGGAGTGCTTGGGAACGCCCATCAATGGGACCTCTACCTGGCGTGGTGAACAGCCTCCTTGGCTTTTTGTTTTGCAGAAGCTTTATCGCCGGGAGATCAAACCGCCTTTCAAACCTGCTGTGGGCCGACCAGACGACACCTTTTATTTTGACACAGAGTTCACGTCTCGGACACCGAAAGGTTTGTGTGCGCCCCCAGCAAGCGGGAGATCGGCACGGGACGCTCCGGCCACATAGACCTGTGGCACTGGGGTGAGGTGTTAGGCTGACTCCGGTTCCAGCAGGACTAAGTCTGTCCTCGCTGCAGCGTGAGGAGCGCTGACGTCCGAGGGACACGGCTCTTGACAAGCAGTGGGTGGTGTGGAAGTAAATCTGCAGGGGCTTCTCTTGGGTAAATGTTCTAGTCAGTTGTGGGCTACCGTGTGGTGTGGCCACAATTCTTAGCAAGTGAGGGGAAACTCGTTCGCTGCTGACAGGCTGCTGTAGGACCAGTCTCTTCCCTCTCTTACTCCAGACTCTCCCCAAATTCCC